ATTTAAAACCAGGTCATTTTCTAACCAATCGAAGTCTTTAAATTCAGTCAATAAAATTAATATCGTATCATCTTATCGTCGCACTACGGATGCATGTCAATCAAAGCTTTATGCTCCACGTATAGGAGTAAATGACAAAATTAACAAATCAAAATGAAGTTGAGTAAAATGCGTTCATTTAGAATAAAAATTACATACCTAATTTGAGACTAAAAGTGTTTGATCTTTCCCCATCATTTTATTTTTGAAAATAAAAAAAAGATCTATGCAAAAAAACAGTCTTTCACACAGTCTTCAACGAGATTACAGTGCTTATATTTTTAACAAATCTAAATTATAAAAATTTACAAGAAAATTGGAATTTTCTTTTTGTTAAGTTGCTGTTATATCCTTTTCTAGCCATCTTTCGAACTTGAAAATAATTTTTGGCCATTTTTCTTGGCCGGTTTACCTATCAATATTTTATTTTGAGTTCTACAATATATACAATATATTCCCGATCTACAGCCGTCATTCTTTATTATTGGACCGCCCTGTATATTATCTCTTTACGGATAAATAAAAGTCAGAAAGCGTTACGAAAAAAAATATTTATGAGATACTTAATGGTTGTTTGTATATTTTTCTTTCGAATCACAATCTTTTAAATTCCATTCACCTCAGTTGAGTTATTTTGCTCGATTTATTACGTAAAATATTACTTTTGGCACAGAATTCCGCATAATATGATGTGTAAAAAATATGATTAATAGTAATTTAGTGGAGTGTCAACTTCACTGGCGTGCTGTTTCTATTGAAATAGTCTAAATACATTAAGATGATATATGAGGGTGATTGTGATATGGTATTATGTCTGGAATTATCAAAATAGTCATACTTTTTGTTTTGCTTTATGAATATTAGTGACTGAGAGAAATTATGTAACAGGCTATTTTTAAATAATAGAGACATTGGTAAATAAAAGTATACTCAATTTTTTAATTACTATATTTACTATACCGGGTGCTGCATCGTCGAGCGGGACATATAGGAAATCCCATGTAAATTTTAATGGTGTCAATTATTGGCTTCCCTAATTATTTTAAAGAATAATTCTACTTAGGTTTATTGAAGAGCACTAAAACCCACATTCAAAAGAATAACTTTAGATATTTTTGATTAACCCGTTTACGAGTTATCGCCCATTTCTTTTTAAATATTTCTCCTTTCTTATGGCCCTGTATTTACTTATATACAGTCAAATGAAGTTGTCATTTCAGAAATTAATCTATTTAGTGCTTTATTATTATTATAATTAAAAACTCATACCTACATCGAAAATATTAGCCATAAATTACACTACCGAAGAAAAAGTATTGATGATTAAATGGTATTATCAAGGAAATAGTTATCAAAAGGTGTCGGACATGTTTGCTGCTCTGTATCCGAATAGACCGATACCTGGAAAATCTACAATCGCAAGGAATATCCAGAGATTTGAGACCGAAGATACCTTAATAAATAACTGCAAATGTGAAGCAAGGCCAGGAACAAGGAGAAGATGCAAGAAATGATACCGACTTGGAAGTTTTATTGTGCGTGGAAGAGAACGATGGAAAGATCAGCACAAGGAAACTTCAGGATGAAATAGGAATAGATCACACTACAGCGTTTCGAATTTTGAAACGACATAAATACTATTCCTTCAAATATGAAAAGCACCAAGAGCTACGAGATAGAGACGAAATACGGCGGCAAGCGTTTTGTTTTTAATATGATGGAAGGAGCAAACACGGATAGGGAATTTTTAAAAACATATGTTTCACTGACGAATGCACGTTTATCTTAAATAATGAACCCAATGTTCAAAATGATCGATATTGGAACAAAGAAAACCAACACGGGTTTGTCGAAACAAGGACGCAATATCCACAGAAAGTAAATGTTTGGGCAGGGATATTCGGACACAATATTATCGGGCCATTATTTCTTACGCGAAATTTAAATGTAGAATATTATTTGGAACTACTCGAAAATCATATTTTACCTGCTTTACATGATGCCGCTAGGGAAAATCAGGAAGTTTGGTACCAAATGGATGGCTGCCCGGCACATAGTACCCTGGTTGTTCGGGAATATTTAGACAATAGTTTTAACGGAAACGTTATTGGCCTAAATCATATAGTAAATTGGCCAGCAAGGTCTGCTGATATTTTGCCAAATGATTTCTTTCTCTGGGGCCATTTAAAAAATGGATAATGAATAATATACAAGGATAAAAAATACCCAAATCTTGACGAGTTAAAAAATGCTATTTCTGCCGAATGCAATCGAATTTCAGTTTACTAGTAAACTAGCGAATGTAAGAAGAGAATTTTATGATCGCCTGGGTTATTGTCTAGCAGTCGATGGAGGAATATTTGAACATCTTAAATCCTAAAGTTTTAACAATTTAATATATTCATATTAATTTGTATTTATACATCTTTTTCAGATTTCCGATGTAGGAATGAGTTTTCAATAATAATAAAGCACTAAATAGGTAAATTTCTGAAATGACAACTTCATTTGACAGTTATCTTTTACCTTGACTGGTGCTCATAAGTAAATACAGGGCCATAAAAAAGGAGAAATATTTAAAAAGAAATCGGCGATAACTCGTAAACGAGCTAATCAAAAATATCTAAAGTTATTCTTTTGAATGTGGGTTTTTGTGCTCTTCAATAAACCTAAATAGAATTATTCTCTAAAATAATTAGGGAAGCCAATAATTGACCCCATTAAAATTTACATGGGATTTCCTATGTCCCGTCCGACGATGCAACACCCGGTATAATATATTATTACTATAAAATGGAAAACACATTTCTTGCAGTATAGGTAGGTATATAATAAAATTATATAACAATTCTTGCCATTTAACTGCTGATATAGAAATTTAATTCCACACTGTGTTTGTCATAATGTGGATCAACCTGCTCTCACTACCGGTTTCGGAGCCCTACTCCATCATCAGGTGAGCTTGGGTCGATTCCACTAGTAGGTACTCTGCGCTGTGTTTGTCATTTTGTGGAATCGACCCAAGCACCCATGATGATGGGGAGTAGGGATCCGAAACCGGTAGTGAGAGCAGGTTGATCCACATTATGACAAATACAGTGTGGAATTAAATTTCTATATCAGCAGTTAAATGGCAAGAATCCTTATATAATTTTATTCTTACTATATTTACTATATAATATTATTATTATATTTACTACTTTAGATGTTTTAAAAACAATCTTATCCACGCAAGAATATTTAGCAAAGAATGTAGTTGGAGCGTTTAATTTTATGAAGCGTTTAAAATGTCACTAAAACACGAATGTAATACCTACAACGTTTTATCCACATAAAAATGTATATGTTTAGCTAAAATTATAAAAATTTCACAGGAAATATTAGAGGCAAGCAATATTTTTAAGAACTGAAGTCAAGATAGCGTTTGTTGCTATGGTAACTATGTTGTTCAGTAGTGATACAAACAAAAGTTTGACAAATGTAAAAATTGCAGCTTGTGTCATAAGAATTTGCAAACGCATTTCAAAAACCACGAAAAATGGAAGAAAATGACCATGGTATTCCTAGAGTAATTTTAATCAATTTTTAATCATTTCATTTACAGTCTGCAAAGAGTAGCGAACATTACGAAAAAGTGTTCGCGGAATACTTTCACTTTAGGCGCTTCGTTTTGTGGATAAAGTATAAATTAAGATTCATTTATTTTCTTCAATTCTCACTAAGTTTACAGTGCATAAATGAACAGGTGCCCAAAAACCAGCAGGAACAAATATCATAGATTTTTTAAAAAGGGTTTATACTAAAAAAGTTGAAACTTGTAATTGCACATTTTATGCAGTTACATTATATTTCGTCGTCTAAATAGAGCATTTGATGATATTTTACTTTTACTCTTCGACTTTGAATGACAAACAGACATAGTACTATACAAGCTTCCGCGTTACTGTCATATAATCTCTAACCGAACGACCAAAATTATTATATTACAAAACAAACGAAAGTTAAAAAAATGAAGACGAACGAAAGACGCGTAGAAAAAAAAATGAAAACAACTCAACGCCAACTCGGTGAATGGAAGTAATTTCTAAGCCGACTTGAAGGTTATACCGCTTGAAATGTGACTTAATTCACTCTGACGAGTCGTTTTAAATAGTCAAAGGGGCCAGCGAGTGACGGAATTGAAAAGACTTGCCAAACAAAATAAAATTTCGCTTTGGAGGATGTAGGTTTGAATTGTGTCAACAGTCAACATACCTTCTAAAAAGGCTCCAAAAAAAAGTTGTGCTTATTTTTTTTAATTTAATACTTGTATTGTTTTAGGTGCTTCTTACGTTGAAAAATGTCTTATCTGATAAAATGGAAACAGCTACTAAGGAGAATTAAGAGTCTATTACGCTGTACTTTCGGGTTACTCTCAGGGGTCGGGTAAAGCGGGTGTTTGGCCGAAGGAAATATATATTTTTTTCAGAAATTTGCCGGATCCTGTCGTGTTAAGCCCCACACAAAATTCCAAAGACACGTGCTTTGATTAAGGCTTGACTAAGGTTTGCAGAGCTTCAGCATTTGTCATAAAATAGCGATCAATTTGTTACAAAACCATATAAATAATATATCACTGTAATCACAAAACTTCAATCTATTTCCGTATTGTAACGAAATATTCAATTATGTCTTTATTTTCGAGAAAATTTAGTCCAAACATAAGAAATATTTTATTGATGTTTGACCATCAAAATCTTAAAAATAAAGGAGTTGTCTAAAAATGTGCTACAATACGGATATAGTATCTTTTATCTCTAATTTCCTTTCTCATTTGTGTAAAAATACCTAGCCAGTTTTACATAAAACGTTAAATGCCGAACGCTTATTTTGCTACTTTTTTTTTGCTCTTAAGATTTAATCTGAACCTGTCAAGATAGAGCCATAACACAATTTAAAATAAAATAGAAAAATTGACATACCTGTAGTAGTCTTTCTTACAGTAGATATTTCCGTCGCGCGAAAAACACGTAATATCACCGTCCAAAGTGTTCCTGCACTGACAACACTGCAAACATTGCGCGTGCCACCGCCGTTCCACCGCTTGGAGGTAGTACCGATCGGTGATTTTGATGCCGCAGCCTGCGCACACTGCAGCACCAGCAAGTTCGTCCGCACAGCTGCAAAGAAACAGAAAAAAATAAAGCTAAAACCAAACAAGCACTAGAAAGGTATAGTTCACTAGAGATATACACTGACCGGTACAAAAAACAGGCACCTTAAAATATTTATGTTGTTTAAAGTTCAATATATTTTCTTCCAGTGGACTGACTCATTTTGGCTAATTTAATTTTTGCCCTTAAGGTTTTCACGTTTTCTAGTTTAGAAATGTTTAAGAAAACTTCTTCTGCTTGATCCTGTTTATTTCTATTCTTACTAGTTGAAGCCTAGCGCATGCGCCACGACATCAGGAAAAGAAATACTTTTTATTTTATTTTTTTAATTAAATGAAAAAAAAATCCGGCGACGACAGTTTTTAGAAGAGCCAATTAGCTATCTTTTAATGTTATTATTTTCATTAAGATTGCGCCATACCTAGATGGTGGTGTTGGTGGTGACGATGGAGTTGTATCCGGTTCAATTTTGGGTATGTGATGGTCGAATGAAGATCCGGGTCTTCGCAGTTCGGGGGGTGTCACCGAATGTGGAGGTCGGGGAGGGGATGATCTACAGGAGTCCGATCCACAGGACTGGTGCACTAGAATACCAGATACATATATTTTTCATAGGTTTGCAAAACTATACACTTAACACAGTCTTATGGAGCGATAAACAATGACTGATATTGTTGGCAATAGTGTATTGATGATTGATACTGATAGTGATATTGATTAGTGATTGATACTGATGCTAAAACAAATAATCGATCGAAAATATTTAGCAAGGTATGTCAATCTATTTACTATTTGTTTGGCTTTTATTACTTGTGAAATCAATAATTAATTTTTGGTTTGTTTTGACGCTATATAGTAATAACAGCTGATAAATATTAATTGTCAACCACCCGAGCAAAATCAGAATAGCTAACTAATTCAATCATTGTTGACTGCTCCGTACAAGTAATTTATAATATTATTATAACAATGGTGGTTAAAAAATAAAGAGCTGTAGCTTACTTTTTTCAGTGTGGTTGTTGTTATCCTGGGACAGTGGTCCCGTGGACCCCAATTGGGTGTCTCCCAGCGGCTCCCCCTTGAGCGGAGGCTCGCATGAGGGCAGATTGGGCGACAGATCTCTGGAGGGGTCATAGGCGGGTCCGATATATTGATCGTTCGGCTGCTGAAATAAAAGAAATTAAATAGTTAGTTTGGTTTGGTTTGGTTTTCATCGTTTCCAAGTAAAAAAAGAACATTGGATGACAACTGTATAAATCTCAAACACCAAAAAGAGTAATTAAACAAATATAGTCGTAGTATAGTAGTTTTATTTGATGTACAACCTGTAACCTGTATGTACACCATCAATAATACATAAAGTTCTAAAAACAGAAGAATTTCAACAATCCTATTTCCTTTGATCACATTATATATTATAGCATACGCGATGTTAAGTGCTATAAAACAAACGGATATTACTTGAATAAGATTAAGTAAAGAATCATTGCTTCCAGTCCAGGGAGCTGCATAGTTTCTTTTTATCTTCATCTCTTCTCGTATATCAACGGCTTATAATTAGAAAATCCTTTATCGATAATTTAGGTTAAGCAGTAGCGTCGTAGAGAGAGAGACATAAATCAACGGGAAATCTTCTTACCGATATTTATGTCCGACAAAGAAGCTTTGCTACGTTTTAATTTATCTCTAATGACTCGGTGCCGCCTGGCGTTAATTTATTTTTTGTGAGAAAAGCAAACATTTTTTTAAGTCGTTTCTACGGCATACTGAAATGGACGCCAACATAAAAGTATATTGGTAGATTACAATAATAGTATGAATTAAAAATCTATTTGCAGACGCATACTAGGGTCGGCACCTCTGGCCTTGGGTGCCGATTTTCGCGTGTACGAAGAGTACGGTCAATACGCTCAGTACAATAGCATGTACTGAATAAAGAAAGAAGGCAGGCTTCCCACAAGAACATTTTTGATTGCGCAGAACTTGACCATAAAAATATGTAGCATTTTATAGTCATCCATGACAAATAACTGTATAAATTATCCAATAAGACGTACGTTCGCCAAATTTTAAAGCATGATATTTTCTCACTCACTGCCATTCGTTTGTATACGTCAATATATTTATTTCCTCTCATGCCAGCAAGGATTGCAGTGACGTCAAAATTGATGCCGCGAAACTAACGATTTTATGGACAAATTAGATCGGTTAACTAAAAACTGTAAACTATTGGGGACTGTTTAATCGGCTAAATTTGTCCATAGAAACTGCAGTTATTGCTGACATGGGAAGAAGTGAAATAGGAATTGAATAGTATTCACCTATGCAAACAAGTGGAAGTGAGACTGTGACTACAGTGACGTAATTCAACAATGAAATTCGGCCAATGTACGTATAATGTATTATTTAAAGGATTAAGCAGTCCTGTCTATTTACCGTTTTGGTTATTGCCTATTGGTCCTTGACTCATGACCCAGTTCATATTCTGACATTTTACTGAACACCTAAACACTGATGACGGAAATATTTGTCAGTTCAAAATTTAAAATACCGGGTGTCCCACTAAGAATAGCTCTCGGCTGTATCTCGGAAAGTATTAGTCGTAGAGCTTGCGGAAAAAAATATTTATAACTAAAGAGGGTATGAGAAATTGTTGGAAATTATTTTCAAGTTTGTATAGCGGCCACTAGAGGGCGCAACTGCTATTAAAAATAAGAAAAAGGAGTTTTACACAATTTTGCCTAGATAACGTATACTATAAATAATAGATTCATAATCTTCAGTAAAATTTGCATATTTTTTAGAACCATTTTTGTTAGAACCATTTTCCCCTATCTGCCAAAATAAAGTGGTGGGGGAAGGTTCGATCTGTTTGATTATTTAAACATTAATAACTCCGGACTGGATGAACGGAATCTAACAAATGGGGGCTCGTTTAAAAAAGCGTTTATACTCTATATTATAGCGTATAAACAATAATAATAAGGTTTTGAATGTAGACGCTATTAGGCGCTGTCTAACAATTTAACAAACATTGCGCGTTTTTTCAAAAAAAAAAATGCGATAGTATATATATAATTTTAGCTGATAGTAAAGAGTAATAAAAGCTTAAAAAGTCAGCGAAAACCGCATCTTGATATCTTTTTTCAACCCAAAGTTATTAGCAAAATTATAATAAATACGAAAATATAAGCCCTTAATTACCTTATTTTTCTAACACGGTATTACTAGCTCTCTTGATTATGAACATTCTGACAAAAAATAAGATAGATAATTACGATTTTAATATTTAAATGTTGTACTAGGTATATAATTGTCTGTGTATGTGGTTATAGCTTAACAGTTAAAAAAGTTTATAAAAATCAGTTGTTTAGTTTTTAAGTTTTTTTAAAATACGATTTTTTTAAGCATAATGCGATTCTATTCAAAGTGTCATTTTCTATCAAATAAAGTAAAAAAATACATTTTAAAATCAAAAGTTGTAGGCATTTCCGGTGACACACCAAGTGATCGAAATGAATTGAATACGTCAATCAGTCCTAATTTATGTCATATGCTAACATACCAAATCTCATTTTTTTTATCAGAAAAAATAAAAAGTTATAGGGGCAAACCACTTTTGAGAAACACCCGGTATATTATGATCTTGTTCCTAGATAATAATACTTTCTCTATTATAAATAAATAAAATCAGAGGAAAAAGTCAATCGCAGTTTACTATAAAATGCTGCAATGTACCAGAAAATTACATTCGCAACAAAATCACAACTCCTAAAAAATTCAAACTCGCAGATAGAAGGTTATCACGGTCCTAGTTTACAAAGTCACAAATGCAGCAAAATCGCAACTATAGTAATGTTCGCAAATAGAAAAAATCGCAAATCGCAACTATAGTAATATGGGTTGCCTCGCAAATTGAAACTCGCAAATAGAAGAAATTGCAGTCGCAGTTTCCTATGAGAGCCAATCGCAGATTGCGATTGCGATTTTAAAACCGCTGCGATTGAATCACAGTTTGCGATTTCTTGCTAATCTCTATAACAAATACTTCGTATTTTTGCTCTCTCCGACTTACTAGACCGCCATAACGATTCACTCCTAGACACGTAAACGCCTACAAACCAAAGTTTCGTTTGCCGCTTGTTAAGAAATGTTGACATTACCGACCTTTAAAAATTTACGTTTGTGTCACATTATCTACTTTCACTTCCATCTTCCATTTCTCTCACCCATTTGTCTCACTCATCTTCATCTCTCATTTCTCTTGCTTCTGCACTTCCTGCACCTTTTCCAAACATTTTTGCATTTTTAAAATAAAATATTGTAAAGGTGCCCAAAATTAGACATCCTTCGTATGTGTTTTAGTTTTCGAGGTTCCAATGGTCACATCGTAGTGGGGACACCCTGTATATTTAAAAAGTAGATATATAAAAATACAAGTAATTTTGAATAAAAAAAATATCTTTAGGCTTTGATAAGTCAACAGCTTATGTGATAACATTAACAACTACTGGTCTATATTTTATTAATTTATATGACTTGTGATGTGATAAAAATAATTTTATTTAACTCTTCTTACTATTTTCAATATCAACACCTCATTTTTAATTAGAGCAGTATCCTCGCAATTTCTCTACTTAGTAAAACCATATTTTCTAAAGTTTATACTGTATATAGTGCATAATTTGTTATTATTTATTAAAGTTATTATTATTATTATTACTGTTGATGCTTTGAGGTCATATAAATTAATGTTTAATATGTGTAATAAATCTGGTTTAATTGATAAAATTTACATTTATATAACGATTTTATTTCGTGTATGTCTATAATAAATATTCCAGCTACTGTATACCGAGTGATTCAGTTCAATAATATTTAAACAAAAAAAATGTATTTGATTATTTGAAAATTACACTAATATTAATATAACGTGAAAACTCAGAATCAGATATCCGGTGAATATTTTTGCCAAATCTACAGGGCAAAACACTTTATAAATAATGAATTTTTCTCAAAAAGATAACAATAGAAATGTTTTTCCTCTTGTAAAGAGGATCTGGGCACATAAATATGTCTTTGGCAGTGTTTCTAAAATAGTCTCCACGCTATGCGGAGAACTCGTTGAAGCAGGTCAACCCAACTTTGTCGCTTTTTTTATTTTCAGTTGTCTTGACTCACTTCGGTTTGCCTCCAACTACTTTCGATCCTTAAAAGCGTCTGAAAACTACTCGTGAGGAGGCCGTGGGGGATTTTTTTTTGGCGTTTCCTGTTCCCTCGTTCAATTTTGTTTCGTTTTCAGCTGTTTCCAAAACGTGGCGGTATCTGTACCCGAGGCAAAGGACTTTTTTTCACAAATCTCAGTGAAATAAGTAAACCTGGACGTTTCTAAACTATCCATTGTTACGATGATATTTCATTAATTACATCTTTTTTTGTATTTATATATATTCCACAAGATTAATATTTGAACACGCGTTTGTACGATGTAGACTAGATATTTATGAACAAAACTTATCAATCAATCTGCAGGAATATAATTACAATTTGTTTATTATTTAATTTTATTATAATGAATTAGTATATAAAATTGTATTATAAGTTATGTTTTTTTACGCGGTTATAATTGATTAATACATAATTAATAGTATCGCTTGATGAGTAATACTGGCAACATTATCCATATATATAGCTGATTGGGAAAATTACTGATTGACCCGATGTCAATAAAATATACTTTTATATATAATAATAACATGGTTTGATATAAATCCATTCAAAAATAAGAAATAATTAGACCATTTTTTAAATAGTTTAACACTGTGGATTATAACCTATAAAAGGTGGACCGCCGCGCCAGAACAGTTAGTCACTGCGTATTGCCCTGCGGTTTTACGATTTTAAGTTTTGAAAATATAGTTTTTACTAAATTGTAATTAATAATGTTAGACAATAATTAAAACTAAATATTTTTGTGTAACTTTAGAGGAATAGCCAATTTAATCTACCATAGGTAACTGTTTTCTAAATGCACTGTTTTTGATTTTTCATATCAATTTAACTTAGTGGTACTACATTACACTCCATTACAAATTAATGATATTTATTCATACTCCATGTTTACTTAGTTTTCTGAAGACACCACAGGTTTGACCTTGATTGCTT